CCCAGACACATACAACTTGTAGCACTCACTATTTAGTGGATATCCCCCCATCAAACAAAGACACAGTGTAGTATCTGACAGTATAAGCTTCCCACATTTTTAGATGCCCTTACTGGAGATTATAGTTTCCTCATAATGAGAAATAATTTTTTTCCTCTTGCTTAGTACATTTCAGTAGTGATTCAGGAATTTTGCAAGTATGCTCCAATTTGTTCAAAAAAGTACCATTTACTATGTTGGAAGTGCATGTAACTCGTGAGCAGTGCTGACATGATGGCTTCATGAAAATTTTCATTTGAAACTGGGGAAACATAATCTCTTTTGGAGAAAAATATGACATTTTGTTACATAGTAATACGAAAACAACTCATGATGAATGTTAGAGAATTCATGCGCTTGCAAATATTTAGAAATAAACTTCTTAGGGCGATAGAAGAGCAAGATAAGGATGAACTAAAACAATATTAGTTACACTTGTCATGAAGCTGTGAGGCCAGTTTGCTGAAGTTTATCATTAATAGAAGTAGGACTGGTGCCTCTGAGGAGGAGCATCAGGAGGCAAGGTCGGTGTGAAGCGACTGCTGCCTGGTCCCCTTCCAGCCGCTCTCACAGCTGCTGGGCTCTGATCCACTTGTTTGCTCATGCTCACTCTTTCAGCAGGTGATACATTAGCTTCTACTGGAACTAATTGTAGTTCTTGTCACAAATTTTCTGGGTCTTGAGCTCGAAGGCACAGTATGCTAGACTCAAGCCAGCCAAGTAGGTGAGAATTCACGATGTATTGTGTCAATGACTTTGACAAAACCTAAGCACGAGATTTGTGCCCAAAGCTGGATATGCCTCTTTAACTCTATCCCAAGTTTTTTTAAAAATCAATTTTTAAAAGGATTTTATCCTTTAAGTGCAAAAAGCACATACATACTGTTCTGTTTGTTTGTTTGTTTTTTAATCAGAAACACTATTAACTGTTCACAACTTGCAAACAATTTTTAAAAGGATTTTATCCTTTAAGTGTAAAAAGCACATACATACTGTTTTGTTTGCTTGTTTTTTAACCAGAAACACTATTAACTGTTCACAACTTGCAATAGTGAAATGTATTGTGCATTCACCTGCACTGGTTTAACTCTTAAATGGCTAAGAGGTTTGTTAGAGTCCTGTTAAAAAGCCTGAAGTGCTCCTACTAGTACATAGATAAGGTAGAATTTTTTTGTACCTCTCAGACACCGTTTTCAGATTGGTTTTGTTTCCAATCCACCCTCTGAGAAAATGTTCCAAAATGTGGCCTTTTTATCCTAGCACAAGATACTTCTGGGCTTTCCTTTTCTGTCACTTCAGCACCAGTTGAGCTGCAGGAGGGAGATGCACTGGACCCCAGTCGAAGTGTAACTGGTTTAATGGGACACCTACAGCAGGTTTTTGTGTGCGTACTTTCATAGCAATGAAAGCGCTTAGTGTAGAGCAGTTGTATCAGCATGAAGGTAAAGTATCTTTCCTAGTTAATCAGCAAGCCCTATGAAATATAAAAAAAGTTTAAGGCAAGCACTTTGCTTTCTATCCAAAGCTTCATTTTTGCATCCATTAACCTGTTTATGTTTACTTTTCTTTTTTTCATAGGAGACTGCTCTCCTATACACTCTGTATCCAACTAAACTGATCCCTCCAACTAAGTCCCCTTTGCGTCCTTCGTCCATCTCCCTCGCTGACTGTCTAAACCCTGGACCTTTCAGCCACTTGTCTTCCATCATGTGTGATGTTCATGAGAATCCCTATAGCCCTTACAGTCACAACTTTTTGTACAATAAGGTGAGCGTCAAGTGTGGTGTGATTCAAGAGCTTTGTCAGGTTTTCATCTTTTTAATTCTAGGCAGAATTCAGCTGAGTCATTAGGACTCAGTGCTGGAAGATGCTCTAGGAGACGCATCTCATATGAGTCTGTGTCTTCAGCATCCCTGGAGATACTACTTCTTTTTCTTCCCCTGGCAGAGATCATGTTGGGGCTTGCATCCTCCAGGCCAGCTACTGGAACATGCTCTAGGTGACGCATCTCTTATGAGCCTGTGTCTTCAGCATCCCTGGAGATATTACTTCTTTTTCTTCCCTTGGCACAGCTCATGTTGGGGCTTGCATCCTCCAGGCCAGCTAGGGCTCTCACTACTCTTCATTCAAGCTCTTTGTTCTCTAAAGGAGGAATAACCTGTTTCATCCCTCATGCTCAGATTGCTTTTAACATTTACCCACACTAAAGTAAGGGACTGTTTCTTTTTTCTTGGGGACTGAGGAAAGGGAGGCTACCTGAGAGAAATACAGGTTTTCCAGTGGCTTCATCTGTCATCCTGACAAGCAGCTGTTTCTTACCAATGCAAAGGGAATCACACCCTTGCTGACATCTGTAGCTTCTTTGAAACATCAGTAAAGAAGTTAGACAAAATCTCTGTAGTCCAAGGTGCGTGGGTGAGTTTTGTAAGGTGAAAACTGGGCTGTATGTCTCAACTGAAGAGCAGCTGGCATGACTTACAACACCCCAAGAGAGCCTCTGTCTCGTGATAGAAAATAATCAGTTGTGGAAGTCCATAGAAGATGCTGTTTGGACCCCTCAGATGCATCTCTCCCATATTCTCTTTTTCTAAGACAGAATCTGGCTGCAAATGCTCAAACCTTGATGCCAGGAGAGATAATCCCACTCTGAGATGTATAGTGTGCTTTTTTGGGGGATGCAAGAGGTTAAAACACAGGCATTAGCTGCTGTTTCTTTAGGTTATGTCATGGTTTCCTCATTAGAGGAAGCACCATTGTGAAATACACATTATCAATTTCAGGCACATCAAGAGCTGAGACTGCTTTGGAGAGAAGTATCACTTCTGCAGAGAATGCATGTTAGTCAGCTGTCACACTCTGCAGAAATGCCTAGAAACAACTTTCTCTCCTCATGGACTACAAACCTAATTTACATTAATAGGCAATGCCAATATTGTCTGAAGTTGGCCCCTCCATCCTGTGAGATTTATAGAATTTACCGTTTTACCCACTTACTAGGATGGTTTAAAACTAAAACTAAAATAAAAACAACCTTCTATTTTCTCTTTGAGGCACCCTGAACAAAAGCACTTTTTCACATCTGCTAGACTGGGTTTTGTTCTGTTTCAGTTTCTACTAAACTGGCCTGACGTGTTTATTTAGGCAGCAATGATTTTATGATCAAGTATTTTTCAACAAGTTTCCTGGTTCATTGCAGGGCATTCGCATGAACAAACACTTCATGTGATTGCTGAAGCCAGTTTTAGTAATGAAAATGAGTATTCAATATTGCTAATGAAAATACTCCTAGAAACTCAGAAATTCATATAGGAAGGTGAATAAGGCAAGGAAAAGTTGTCTGAAGAGAATTACAATAGCATAATTTTTTGGTATATCATGTTAGCTGTTTTCTCAAACAGGAATATTCTTGATGAATAACTGCTGAAATAAGGAAATTTTGCTGCTGCTCTGATTTCCCATAGCACTGTGCACCCAAAACCCTTCTCTTGAATGCAGAGGTCATAGGACAGTCCAACCTGTGTATTTGCATTCCACCCATGAGATTACGAGGCTTCTTCATCCACATTTTTTTATCTCAAGGAACTTCTGTCATTCCAAGCAACCTTTGTGAGCTCTGCAAATTGATAAATGCAGCCACACTTCTCTGATGTTAACATGTTCTTCCTTTCAATGTAAATACAAGAGCTACATCATCTCTAAATTCTTCCATTTCCCTGTGTAACATAAATTTGCTTTCTTACTTGGGTCATTTTTTACTGTCCTGTGTTAGCAAAGATATTTTCCATGGTTCTCCTGTAAGCTTCATACACCTGTAAACAGCTTTTATTTTATTTTCATATTTTATATTTTTAATATATCATGTATGTTTTGTATATTCTTATTTCTATATTGAACTTTGACTCTCTATTTAAGTCTGCAACTTTCCAGGGTTGAGCAGCATCATCCATAGCCCAGCAGGCATTGAAGAGTGCTGTATTCTATCAAAGGAAATCTCAGAGGATCATTTAGTTTTACTTCAAATACTTCTGCAGCAACATTTTGAATTGTTATGTCATAATGGAGGTAGCTGGGAGGTCTGTGTTTTAGATGAGGCCCGAGTACTGACATGCTCTGACAACTTAAGCAAAAAAAGTTCACACACTTGGGCTTCTGACTGAGTTCCCACTGCCACACTTCTCACTGTGTAAGTGAAATAGGCTCCTGACTTTTGTCAAGACCACATGTAATGATAATGTTTGTGTTTCTTCAAATGCACCCTTAATTTCGTTCCTATAGCAAGTTCTCTCTTCCATAAGATTTAGTGAAAATCCATGGGAATTTCTAATGTTAACCATGATTAATACAAAGAAAATTCTATAATTAGATCTTCTGAAACAGAATCAGTGAGAATTACAAAGGTTTTTGAGATTAATATATTTTTTGACAATTCTTTGGAGAATTTTCAGTATAACTCAATTTACTATTGATTGTTTCCTAGTGTTTAAAATGACTTTAATTATTTAATTATTTGACATAATTTTAAAGTCTCAGCCAATTAAGATAAGGTTAACTCATATAAAATGAGACAACTCAATTGTCAGAAGTAGGTAGGAATTTTAAGCATTACTGGTAGTGCTAGTAAACACCTTCAGTAAAATGTATTGTATTTCTGAACTGCTGTCACTCTTTAGGTAGGTGTGGCCCAATATTTCGGGAAATAGAATAATCAGATTTCAAAAATGGGCTAGTTTAATACAAACAGAGGTTTATTTACACAAGGAAAATATTTATAACTTAAAATGATTTTTTTTTGATGACTAAAGGAAGATTAATTTCAATCTTATTCACATTATAAATATTTAACATTTGAGTCAATATATGTCTATAAAAACCCTGACTATATTTGCCTATTATTTCTTACAGTAACCCTATCTTCTGTGCCACTCAACTACAGTCTGATACATTAATTAAAAAAAAAAGATTTAATTTCTTGTTCATAATCAAAGTAACAGAAAACAGTACAGTAGACACATTATCAGATGTTGAAATCTCAAACTGTTAGACCAGTTCTGTAAACAACATCTTGACATTGTGGGAACGTCTTTCCATTCTCTGCTAAACCTGGACTGTCATCTCTGTAAATTCCCTGGAAGTTCCCCTTTCCACTCCTCATCCCTTGAGATAAGGGGTAACATGCATTGTAACTCACTTGCTGTATCTTCAGCCATCCAGTAAACACATGGCCAGTGTCCACATGGTCAATACACCTATGTTAGGTTTCCAACTATATGTTGTATTTTGCTTCATCTTCCACTAGAGGGCAAAACCTGCTGCCGTAAATTCTTACAATCATTTAAACTATGTTGTAAATACACTACTGAGAATGGACAGCATGTGCCAGTGAATGGAATTGCTGCTCTTCACCCACACTCCCATTACAAATTTATCTTACACGGGCATTCCCTCAGAAATGGGAAATGGGATATGGGGAAAATGATCACCTGTGTCTTAAATTAGGGAGGCTAGATATGGTGAACTCCTAAAAACAGTATAATTTCATTTGTTGGCTCAGGACATAGGAAAATGGCAGCTTTCTCAATCTGAAGTGTTTTATGAAAAGGACAATGTGATGTTGTTGAGGCAGACTGGGCCCAGTGCCGGGCTGTTTTTGTCTGAAACTCCACCAAGTGCCTGAATCTTCATAGATGGTGGCTATGAAGATTTCACTGAAGCTGAAAAACAGTCCTGGCAAGTTTTTTAGATTATAATGGCTCAGAGTGATGAAATCCATAAACTGTATCCCAAATCATTTCACATTGTGGTTTTAGCTTTGATGGGAGGAGGCAGCAGGAACCAAGATATTGTGTCTGTCCTTTTACTTGGAGAAGAGCAGAGAAGGCTCTCTCCTCTCATCTGTGCTCAGACTGCTTCTGAAATAAAAATGTTGCCCATTTGAGTGAGCTGATTCTGTTCTCCTTAGCTTTGTCATCTCCTTTGTCCTCTCCTTCCCCACTCTGGCCTCCAGGTATGAGGTGTTTCTGTTCTTATTAACAGTCCTTGGTCTTGAATAATCATAGAAGTTGAACTTTTTATTATAAAAAAGGGTTCATTTTCCTTTTGATTGGAATAAAATAGCTCAGGAATGTGGACTTGAGTACGACTATTGCAGTGACAGCAAGTCTGAGGTAAATTTTATCTCTGTGCTTAGCTCCAGAGCGTGGCTCTGGGAGGAATTCCTCCAGCCTTTAAAGGGCCATTGTGTAGGGTGGAAGAGCATAAGACTGCACCTGGAGAACTGTGTCCAGTTCTGGTCCTTGCAATTCAAAAAAGATGCAGACGAACTGGAGAGGGTCCAAACCAGGGCCACAAAAATGATCAAAGGGCTGGAGAACCTGCCCTATGAAGAGAGACTGAAGGAGTTAGGTCTTTTCTCTCTTAGGGAGCGTATCTCCCACAGCTGGAGGCCCCTTCTCCGTCCCTATTGGCTTTCCAACTACCTTTTCGTTCTGTCAGCAAAGGCTGAACACACAGTTTATGCACATTCCTGTGAAAATCTCCCTGTGGGTTAAGTATTTTATCAGCACAGCCTTGCAAATGGATTGGAGGGAATTGGCTTTTTGCAAGAGGTATGAGAAATTTTAAAAAATTACCATTTCTGTACCTGATCAGACATTACTTATAAGAGCAAAGGTTCCAGCTTGCAGAGGACAAGTTTTCTTTAATGTTCAACTTTGGGCTCAAGACAATTTAATTTTTTTCTTGTTCCTAAATGGAATTTTCCTGGAATC